GACTCTCAATTCTCCAATACTTTCATTGAAGAAAAACGAAAACTAAATACGCTTAACTATTTAACTCCCCCACACAGAACTGCACCGTTCATGGAACAGGATATAAACTTCCTAGAGTTCTCATCCGCACTAAATAGCTTAAAGGGTCACACCCCAGGACAAGATAAAATAAACTACGAAATGATACGACATGTCGCTGAATCACTCAAAATGAGAATTATGTGTTTTTTCAACAACATATTTTATATTCCTCAATCGTACAAAATCAGCACTATTATTCCTATCCACAAACAAGGTGCAGACAAAACCATGACGGAATCATATCGGCCTATCTCCCCTAACCCATGTTTATCCAAAACCCTTGACAAGATAATCTCAAAACGGCTATGGTGGTTTGCTACAACTAACAAGCTACTGAATAGCCGTCAACTCGGATTTAAAAAAGGGAAATCTGCTATGGACTGTCTGCTTTACACAGATGCTCTAATTAGCAGAGCCCTCTCTGGAAAAGGACACATGTCCATTATATCTCTCGACTTCGCAAAAGCATTTGAAAAAATAGGATTGCATACCATCACAAATCAACTGTCGGAATGGGGCTGTGGCCCACTAATAATCAAATATGTGGTTAACTTTATGACAAACAGGAAAATTAGAGTTCGAGCCAATGAGAACATCTCAAAGATACACCCACTCCACAATGGCATCCCGCAGGGATCTCCCCTCTCGGTAGTACTCTTTCTCATTGCGTTTAACAGTCTCTCAGATTTAATCGACAAGCACAAGGAACTTCAACACACAGCTTATGCAGACGACTTTAATATCTTAATACCATTAAAAAAAGATAAAAACATTACAATCAACCTCGACACACTGTTTTCTGAAATTAATGAGTGGTGCCAAAAATCTGGAGCAATGCTCTCAATCTCAAAATGCAAACATATTCACATTTGCCGAAAAAAACTGTGTTCTTGCCTGGTCTCTACACAATCCTCAATCATAAACACAGTTAACGAACTAACCATTCTAGGTCTGTCCTTCAACACAAAATATAAATTCAAACCCTACATCAATAAATTATACAAATCACTACAGAAATCATCAAACATAATAAAATGCCTTTCCAGCGGAAAATACAACAGCCACCCCAACACCCTAGTTCAAATCGTCAAAAGTCTATTTATTTCCAAAATTGACTATGCTTTACCGATATATGGCAACTCTACAAAGTCACTTTTAAAACCAATTAAAACATTAATGAATTCAATCTTGCGAACGTCTCTGGGAGCCTTCTGCTCAACACCGACTTCTAATCTATACTTGGAATCCAACATCGATCCATTAGAAAACAGAATCAAACACTTACAAACAAAAACAATCAACACTATCATACACGCAAACGACACCCCTCTAAGAAAAATTATCCACCGGATAACTAAAAACAACATAAAAAAATACCAATCCTCTACCGTCAACCGCTGCATTTCTCTAGGTCAAAAGCTCGAATTTCCAACCTCTCTTCCTCATAAACCATCATTACCGCCCTGGTTTCTGGATATCAATCTCATAGATACCCGACTAAGCCGATTACAAAAATCCAACACCAACAAGGACGTATTTGTCCAACAATTCCGGGAAATGAAACACCAACTTATGAGCAACAATTACACACTTCTGTTTACAGATGGATCCCTGAGTAAGGAAATAATTGGCTTTGCGGTAACGACAGAGGATGATAAACTTAAACAAGCTGTCCTTCCAAGCTACTCATCGGTATTTACAGCAGAGGCGATTGCTATTCTTGAAGCCATCAAAATAGCAATCAAGTCTAGAGGGAAATTCTGCATCTGCTCAGATTCCCTATCCACATTGGAAGCGATAACAAACATAAATAACTTCAACTTTTATGTAACAACCATCCGCGACCTTTTATTAAAATATAAAAACAAAATCAAGCTCCTATGGGTCCCCAGTCACGTCGGCATAAAAGGCAACGAAAATGCCGATACAGCAGCGAAAGAAGCGACCAACGCTCCATTACTTACTACACCAAATGTAAACCGTGGAGACATTAACAAACAAATAAAAACTGACACCCTTAAATATAAACCAATCACATTGCAAAAATCATCGCAGTGGTATCAACAAATAAACCCAGAAGCCATAAGCATAGCTGACTACATAAAAACTTCACAAGCCTTCAACCTACCAAGAAGGGAAATCACAAAAATAATACGCCTTCGACTTGGCCACACCAGACTCACCCACGAACATCGCTTTTCACAGCCACCCAACTCCCAATGCCAGTTCTGCACCACGGATAACATTTCAATCCCCCATATCCTTAACGACTGCCCAGCCCTACAAACATACAGATTAAATTTAGCAAATGTTAAACTAACGGAACTGCTAATTAACCCTAATTTTGCAAACCTCCAGCTAATTTTAAAATTCCTCAAATCAGCTAACATCTTGCATCGTTTATAAACCTATTCTTTTTCGTTCCTCAACTCATTAAAAACTGTTATTTAATTTGTATATAATTTATGTGTAAATAACTTGTTATATATTTGTAAACCTAAGTATTTTAAGTATTTTATATTTAAGAAAACATGTAATACTCATCCCGGCCGAAAGTCACCGCTGCTATGGCCGTTTCCCATCTGTACCTTAAGTTTGCAACTTCCGAGTACAGAGTACAATAAATAAATAAATAAATAAATATATATATATTTGTTAATTTAATAATGGATTGAGCCCCCCTTATTCAATATAACCTTGAAGATCCTGTTGGGCAGCGAATCATGAAGCCTTTTAAAGTAGTCTAGGGATATTGTAGCCCAGGCTCTCTGAATGGCGTCAATTAGTTCTTCTTTTGTTGAAAATTGTTTGCCAGACTCATAAACCTTTCTGGCCAGCCATCCCCAAACATTTTCAATTATATTTAGATCCGGCGAGTATGGTGGCCAGTTCAGAGTTTCAAAATTTTTATCTTTTAAAAAGATTTTACAACACGTGCAGTATGTATTGGGGCATTGTCGTGCTGGAATGTCCAAGGCAAATGATTGAAAAAATTTTCCAATGGTGGAAAAGCTTATTCAAGGACGTTTAGATACGCTTTTGCGTTCATGTTTGAGGATAAGAATTGGAGTTCACAAGTCCCATAGTAGGATATGGCTCCCCAAACCATAACTCCGCCCACTCGACTATGTAAGCGCTCCAATTGATGCGTCTCTTTCCTCAGATCATGAAAATAATAATTGTAGCCATCTGGCCCCCCTTTCATCAGGAAAAAACTACGCGTTTCCACTCGTTACGCCATGGCATATTGACGCTGCAAAAGGTCAACCGTGCTTCCTTTCGTTTAGGGTTAAGCGGTGGTTTTTTTAAGTTTCAAACGTTTAAGATATTTAGCTTTCGAAATAACTCGCCAAACAGTAGTTTTGCTCGCGTCAACACCTGCTTTGGCCCTTATCTTGCTCACAGAGTCATGAGAATTTGAGGCTTTCCGCAGAATCGCAGGCTTATCTGTGTCGCTAAGAACACTGCGACCTTTCATATTTTTTCCATAGTTTTGTTTGTTTTTGATAAAATTGTATACGACTTTTCTGCTTCTTCCAATTTTTTTCGCTATATTAGCTACAGAAAGGTTACAATCAATATAGCTTTGTATTTGGGTCTGTTCTTTGTGACTTAATGACGTTCCACAACCCATAATGGCACAAAATGATAAAACTATGTTTAAAATTCACAAATTTATCAAAAAACGTTTGTGGTACAATCTGCTTGGCTGCTGAAATGACACTAAGTCCAAAATGTGCTATTCAAATGAAACAAAAAAGGTGCCAGCTATTAAAGCAAGTTAAAAAGAAAATTACGGTATATTTAAACGGGACATTTCCAGATTTCCAATTTTTGTTGGAAGAAAGTAGATAAGGAGACGAAAAAAAAACAGCAACAGTCATTACATTAGATCAAGCAATTGCTGAGATATGAACAAGTAATTATAAAAAAATTTTTTTGTGCTATTCAAGTGAAACGCAGTGTACATAAGCTTCTTTTCTTGTTTAAAAATAATATAGTAAAATCCCAGATGTTGAATATTAAATTAAATTCCTCGTGATTTTTTGTAAATAGTAAAAATACCTGACCTCAATATAAATTTATACAAAATCATTGTAAATTAATTGTCGGGTCATCCAGACGCAGCAGATATGTAGATTCTCTTAATGCTAGCTCTTAGCTTATCTGCATAATTACCATCGCTCTCTCTCTCTCTTTATCGTTCTATTCACCACTCTCGTTGCTTGTTGGTTTATACTTTCGGTCAGCAATCGGCTGATCCGCGTCTTTATTCAATTCAATTGTATTCTTCCTTTCGATCTCACGGAACATTTTTGTAACTCATTTTCGTCGAAATAAAATCGCTGCTCTCGCATAAATCGAACTCAAAATTTTGTTAATTCTTTAATTTCCACAGCTAATAAAAAAGCTTATTAGCTAAACATTGGTGACCCCGACGTGATTTGTGCATAAAAATACCCAGTGCAATTCACAAGAATTAATTTATTTTACCAGCTGCATACATATGTATCTCTTTTAATCGGTGCTGCAGCTTCGTTGTGCGTTGGCCGGCCATAAACAAAACAAATTCGTATAAGTTGATTTGTGCAAATAACATAACACAAGCTTGTACATAAGGCGGTATATAGACCAGATTTTCGTTATTTTTCTTTGCGCTCATCTTCCCGCTAAAGCCGAATTTTGCCCGCCGAGTTGCAGCTGAATTGTGCGTTTGCCTGCCCTAAACAATATTAATGTATATACATATATTAATTGATTTGTGCAAATAAACAAATTGTTACACAAACTCGTACATAAGGCGATATACCAGCAGCGGATCATTTTTCGCTATTCCCTTTTTGCGTTCATCTTCCCGCTGAAGCCAAATTTGCCCGCCGAAACTGCTGCATTTATTGTTGTTGTTGTTGCTGCTTAATATGTCTCTAGAAAATTCGGTAAGCGTCACCGACAATGGCAATTCAAACAGGGTGACATTTCTGAAGCGCAAGGCAACTTCAATGTTTAATAGAGTGGAGCGGTTAATGGAATCTCTTTCAAGTTCGGCTTTGAATTCTTTTGACGATTCTGGCCTTCATGTGAGGTTGGAACTTATCGAGGAACTTCAAACGGCATTTAAAAGGGTTCTCAACGAGCTCGAAGAGTTGGATTTTGAGGAAATTGGAAGTGAATTGGAGGAGAAATTTGATGATGTCATCGTAGTTCTGAAGTCGACGGTTCGATCGGAGATCACGAAGCGCTCCTCGCAATTACAACATTCAACTTTTGCTGATGGTAATACGCCCGGTCTTTCCGGCCATCAGCAGCGACAAACTCGCCGAGCGATTCCACTTCCCGCTCTTGAACTTCCGAAATTCGCTGGAGGTTATGCGAATTGGGCAGATTTTTATTCCATGTTCACATCCATCATAGACAGTCATCCTGACCTGACCAACATAGAAAAGCTGCAGCATCTACGTTCATGCCTGAGGGATTCTGCGTTGGAAACCATCCGCTCGCTGGAAATTTCGGATGGCAATTATTCTGTTGCTTTGAACTTATTGCAAAACCGATTTGATAATCGTCGTTTGGTTTTTCAGGCACACATTACTGAGATCCTGGGGCTTAAGGCAGTGCAAAGTGGTTCCGTCTCGACGCTTCGTGATCTGTCAGATAAATTCAACGCTCATATTCGTGCTCTGAAGGGATTGGGCACGACTGAACAAATCGCAGGATGCATCATCGTCCAAATACTGCTGCAAAAGCTAGATCCTGCGAGCCAGGCCAAATGGGAAGAGCGGTTAGAGGATCCAGCATTCGTCAATGTAATTCCGACGTGGGAATCCATGGCATCGTTTTTGGAGCAGCGATGCAGGACATTGGAGACTATGGATTTCGCCATGGCAAGCTACGCGTCTGGCAATCAGGTGGGAAATAATAGAACGTCCAATTCCCGTAGATCTGCTTTTGTTGCCACAAATATCAACCCATGGATTTGTTCATATTGTAATGCTTCTGGTCACTCTATTCACTACTGCCAAGATTTTAAAGCCCTGCCCCCTGCTAATCGGCTTCAAGAAGTGAAGAGACTCGCGCTTTGCATAAACTGCCTTAAGTTAGGGCATCAGTTGAGACAGTGCAATTCCAGCAATTGTCGTGCATGCGGAGCTAAACACCACACCCTCCTTCACTTGGGAAATTTGGCCTCAGCTTCCCCACAGGCAGGATCTCAGCTTCTAGAAGCTCATGCCTCTATTGCACCCAATACTGTCGTTGAACCATCTGCCGTGCCTTCCACATCCACTGCTCTTATTGCTCAGGATTTCAGTACTGACATTGTGCTCCTAGCCACTGCCACTGTTCTCGTAAGAAATCGGTCTGGAGTTTTCGTTCCATGTCGAGCCCTTCTTGACTCCGGTTCTCAGCTGCATCTAATAACATCTCGCTTCGCAGATCAGCTTCAAATAAAGAAGATAAAGACTTCGGCTTCTGTGACTGGAATAGGTGATTCCAGCTTTGTTACCAATGGTCACTCAGTCAATATTACGATGCAGTCCCGAACCTCTGAATACACGGTGAACATAACCGCAGTTATTGCTCCCAATATAACTGAGCGACAGCCTAGTTTCAATGTGGACATCGGCAGCTGGAAAATACCGCAAAACATACAATTAGCTGATCCTACATTTTATGTCCCTCAGCGTGTGGATCTCTTGATTGGAGCCAGTTTATTTTACGAGCTGTTGTGCGTTGGGCAAATTAAGCTCCCACCTGGATTACCGCTTATACAAAAAACTCGCCTGGGATGGGTTGTTTCCGGAGGATATGGCGTCTCCAATGGCTCATCGTTAATCTCGACCATTCCTTTACCTATCGTTAGTAGGGATAATAGCTTAGATCGACTTGATGATCTTCTTCGTCGATTTTGGGAGGTGGAAAGCTGCGTGGAGCCAATTGCGCATTCTACTAAGGAAGAACAGGACTGTGAGGCGCACTTTAAAAAGCACTTCATTCGTTCCCCTGCTGGAGACTATTCGGTTCGTTTGCCTGCCAAGCTCAACCTGGAATTATTGGGTGAGTCCTACCAGCAAGCTTATCGTAGATTCCTGTCCCTAGAGAGGAAGCTAGATCGTCGGCCAGCCTTGAAGGCCCAATATGCGGCTTTTATAAAGGAATACTTTGACTTGGGGCACATGTCAACAGTTGCTGGCGCAGACCTCGCTTCTTGTCGCTTCTTTTTGCCTCATCATTGCGTCACAAAGGAGGATAGTTCCACTACAAAGCTTCGCGTCGTTTTTGACGGATCTGCCGCTACTTCATCAGGCTACTCTCTCAATGATTTGCTCATGGCAGGCCCCGTAATTCAACATACCCTGTTCCAGATTTTAATTCGATTTCGCTCATACCCGGTAGCCATCACTGGAGACATTTGTAAGATGTACCGTTGTGTCAAGGTACATCCAGAGGACAGCTATTTGCAATGCATTTTATGGAGGACTTCCCCACAGGACAAGCTGCAAGTATTCAAGCTGGACACCGTCACTTATGGCACGAAGCCTGCATCATTTCTGGCTGTGCGGGCTATGCATCAGCTGTCAACAGACGAGCATTCTTCGTTTCCGCTTGGGGCTGAGGTCATTCAGCGCGACTTTTACGTAGATGATCTGATATCTGGAGCCCAGACCGTGGACGAGGCTATCATCATTGTAGATCAGACCTCTAAAATTCTGTCCAGAGGAGGCTTTAAACTTAGAAAGTGGTGCTCAAACGTGCCAGCGGCTTTGTGTGGAGTGTCTGACGAAGATAAGGAGTCATATTTGAAGTTTGATGACGGCACTGACTTTACCAAAACTCTGGGTTTAGCCTGGGATCCTGCCTCTGATCAGCTATTGTTCTCGTTTTCTGTCTTGCAGTTGACCTCAAATCCCTGTAGGCGTTCTGTCTTGTCTGCCATTGCACGATTTTATGATCCTCTTGGATTGGTTGGTCCGGTGATAGCAAAAGCGAAAATTTTCCTTCAGCAATTGTGCAAGGAAAGGTTATCCTGGGATGAAAGCCTTCCTGAAGCTCAGAATACGGAATGGAATTCGATATGCAGGAGTTTTGTGCAAATCAAGCGTTTGTGTTTCCCTCGGCTAGTTCTGTCTCCTAACTCTGAGATTCAGGTCCATGGATTTTGTGATGCCAGCATGGAAGCATACGGCGCCTGTGTCTACATCGTGTGCAGTGGACAGTCGCAGTTGCTTTGTTCAAAGTCAAGGGTCGCTCCCTTGAAGACACTCACCGTGCCCAAGCTGGAGCTTTGTGGAGCCGATCTCTTGTCTAAACTCATCTCGGAAGTAGCTGGCACCAACGTATTTAAGGGACAGTATTATTGTTGGAGTGACTCTGCGGTTGCGCTGTCCTGGATCCGAGACGAGCCCTCTAGATTCAACATGTTTGTGGCAAACCGAGTTGCTGCCATTCAAGAGCGAACCGATTCGATGGAGTGGCGTTACGTTCCAACTTCTTTGAATCCGGCTGACATTCTTTCCCGAGGTGTCCTTCCCACTGAGCTGAGCGAGTCCCCTATATGGTTTAACGGGCCGACATTTCTTTGCAGACCCAAGATTGACTGGCCTTCCCCAATCCTTGCTGAGAAGTCAACACTTGAGCTTCGTCGAAAGGTCCTGCTAATTAAATCGCCATACGTAGACATCATAGCCTGTTCCAAATTTGCAAATTCCTTCGCGTCGCTTCAAAGGATTTTCGGATACGTCTTCAAATTTATCAATCGCATTCGGCAGCCGGATCTTAAGGTTTCGGATATCCAAAGCGGTACTCAGTTGTTGCTTCGTCTGGTTCAGCGTTCTCATTTATGGGAGGACATTAAATCCTTGCAGTCTAAAGGAGTAGTAGCCCAATCTAGTTCGCTTGCATCTCTATCTCCTTTTATTGATCAGTTTGGGCTTCTTAGAGTGGATGGCCGACTAAGGAACTCGTCGCTGGATTTTAATGCCCGTCATCCCATCATATTGCCACGGAGCCATCCTGTCACTGCCGCCATCGTTACTCATTTTCATGAGCGCAATCTGCACACTGGACCTCGAGCCTTACTCTGCATAGTTCGATCCCAGTATTGGCCTATTGGGGGGAGGAAGACAGTGAGCAAGGTTTTGAACAAATGCGTCAGATGCTTCCGAACGAAGCCTCGATTAGTGGAGCATGTAATGGCGGATCTCCCAAAGGAGCGATTGGATGGTTCTCATGCATTTGAAGTCACTGGCATTGACTTTTGTGGACCATTCTTTTACAAGCCGGAAGTGCGAAACAAGGCCCCAGTAAAATGCTACGTTTGCGTCTTTATCTGCTTCGCAACAAAGGCCATTCACTTGGAGTTGATCAGGGATCTCTCAACGGTATCATTTCTGCATGGCCTCAAGAGATTTATATGCACCAGGAGAAAACCGCGGCAGATTTGGTCGGACAATGCAACGAACTTTGTGGGTGCACGCAATGAGCTGATTGAGTTGAGACGCCTGTTCCTCAGCGACGAGCATCAGAAAGCGACGTTGGATTTTTGCCTAGCGGAGCTCATTGATTGGCGTTTTATTCCTCCCAGATCGCCACATTTTGGTGGTCTCTGGGAAGCTGCGGTGAAGACGGCGAAGCACCATTTCTACCGCGCTATTGGGCCTTCAGTGTTGGCCTTCGACGAGCTGCGGACTCTTCTGTGCCATATCTCGGCAGTAGTTAACTCCCGGCCTTTAGTCTCAATTTCAGAAAATCCCGCTGACCTGGATGTGCTAACGCCAGCCCACTTTCTGAATGGTGGCCCACCATCCTCATTCATCGAGCCGGATGTGACCGCCCTTAACTTCAATCGGTTGGATGGCTGGCAACGTGTGGCCTACTTGCAGCAGGTCTTCTGGACCCGATGGAAGGAAGAATACCTGACGCTACTGCAGCAGCGCTCCAAATGGCGTACCCCGAAGCCTGGCCTAGTTGTCGGTGACGTGGTGCTGGTTAAGGATGAGAACTTGCCTCCGATGAAGTGGCCCCTAGCGAGAGTCGTTGAGCTTCTCTGTGGTGGAGATGGAGTTGCTCGAGTTGCCGTTCTCAAGACAACATCTGGAGTGACAAAACGAGCAGTTAATAAGCTGTGTCTGCTGCCCCTTAAGGATGCTGTTGAAAGCCAGGCTTCCAACGGGGGGAGTATGTCGGGTCATCCAGACGCAGCAGATATGTAGATTCTCTTAATGCTAGCTCTTAGCTTATCTGCATAATTACCATCGCTCTCTCTCTCTCTTTATCGTTCTATTCACCACTCTCGTTGCTTGTTGGTTTATACTTTCGGTCAGCAATCGGCTGATCCGCGTCTTTATTCAATTCAATTGTATTCTTCCTTTCGATCTCACGGAACATTTTTGTAACTCATTTTCGTCGAAATAAAATCGCTGCTCTCGCATAAATCGAACTCAAAATTTTGTTAATTCTTTAATTTCCACAGCTAATAAAAAAGCTTATTAGCTAAACATTAATGATAACTAAGAAATTCCAGGTTTTAAGTTATAATTGTTAAAGTTGCGCTTTAGGGGATTTTGCTAAAAATGGGCTAGGAAATTTATTCTTTTTTAAAAATGCTACCTTGTTATTGTTGAAATAGCAATTATCACTGCTTCGAGACAACTCCTTTTTAGAACATTGCCATGTTTTTCAAGCGAAAAACTTTACCGGAAAGAATTTATTGTCTTCTCAGATGTTTTTACTATATTATTATACTCTTGCAGAGCAAAGGGTATTATAATTTCTGTCAGAAGTTTGCAACGCAGTGAAGGAGACACCTTAGACCCAATAAAGTATACATACATATTCTTGATCAGCATCACGATCAGAATCGAAATACGAATGTACGTCTGTCCGTCTGTCTGTTCCTATGTAAACTAGTCTCTCAGTTTTAAAGCTATCTTGCTAAAACTTTCCCAAAAGGTGTGTAGTTATTGCACGCAGTATATAAGTCGGAACGGGCGGGACCGGTCGACTATATCTGATAGCTCCCATACGAGAGAATGAAATAAAAAATTCTCATGCTGTTGTTTTTGATCAAATCGGCTTGATTTCTTCAAGATGGCGTTTTCTAACTACTATTGAATTTCGGATTAAATTTGATCAAAATCGGATAACTCTTTCATATAACTGCCTAGGAGAGATCGAAAAATATATATAGAATTAATGGAAATAAATTGACAACATCGTTGTTTTTTATCCCACGAGCATGATTTTTTGAATATCAGGTTTTTTAACAACCCTCAAATTGAGAAAAGAGTTTCATGAAAATCGCACAACTATATCTTATAGCTGCCATAGGAAAGATAAAAAAAAAATATAAAAATAATGGAAATAAAATTATAACATCGTCGTTTTCCATCGGATAAGCATTTGATTTTTTGGAATATAAAGTTTTCCCACGACTCTTGAATTACGAATTAAATTTGATCAAAATCGGACAACTATATCATCTATAGATCATAATCTATAGACAAAAATATGGAAAATGAATAGAAAAATCGGACAACTATATCATCTTGCTGCCATATGATCTATAGACAAAATTATGGAAAATGAATAGAAAAATCGTCCTAGCTTCGTTGTTGTTCAGCCTTTATTTATTTTGTTCGACATATTTGATGACTGCAAGGGTATTCGGCAAGCCGAAGCTAGCTTATTTTCTTGTTTTTAAAAAACAAAACTCATAGGAAACGTGTCGAATAGTGTAAATATTGAAGAAATAAATTTGAAAAACTAAATTTATAATTTATATTAATTTTCAACACTTTTAATATTTTAATGACAATTAAAATCCTAACATATCTTCCTTTTCCCTTTCTTTATGTCTCGGAAATCTAAAGTTTTAGATTTGTATAAATATAGACAAGACTGATAAATTAGTGCGCCAAAGAAGTTCCACTTCTGACATGTGTACCTAGTACGCTCGCACTTTTTTTTTTTACAATGCTTTGCTTTGTTTATTGAATCTTCTCCTTACGAGACTAACAATAAGTGTAACAAATCTTATACTATAACCTAACTATCAGTCATATAGACTGGAACAGAAAAATAGCCCTGACAAATTATGGCTGGGTTAGAAGGTCGTTACGTTATAGGCGGGCTCATCAGGAAACCCGAGTCAGATCCCTTGCGAGAGGATTTGGGTGGGCTGAGAGTTTTTCCTTGTATGACGCTTTTTGCTTTTCTATTTCATCTTTTACTGCGAAAATCCCAAGATCCCAGTGTTTGTTTTGGTTTCGAATATACCATTGTGCCCCAGTGATAGTTCTCAGGATCTTTGCTTGAGCGCGCTGTATGATTTCTATGTTAGTTTTGCTCGCGTTCCCCCAGAGCTGGGAGCCATACGTCCAGATTGGTTTGAGTGGAGTTGTAGAGCAGTATTTTGTAGTCCAGACACATGGGCAATCGGGCGTTTATAATCCAGTTGATGCTGCCGGCTTTTAGTTTAAGATGTAATTTCTTGCATTCGATGTGTCTACGCCATGTTAGAAGTCTGTCGAGGTGGACGCCGAGATACGTTACTTCGTTGACTTGAGGGATCTGTGTGCTATTCAAGTAGATCGGAGGGCATGTTTGTCTGTTGAGAGTAAACGTTATGTGTTTACACTTCTGTTCATTTATTTTGATACGCCAGTCGGATAGCCACTTCTCTACTACCGTGAGGTGGTTGGCTAATTGCGATGTTGCACGGACTGGGCATCTGGAGCAGCTGAGGATCGCAGTATCGTCAGCGAAGGTGGATGTTAGTAGTCGGTCGCTCGTGGGAATATCCGCAGTGTAAAGGACGAATAGAGTAGGTCCAAGTGCGCTTCCTTGTGGGACTCCAGCCTCGATTTTGTAGTTGTCGGATGTTGTTGTGTTGCATCTCACTGCGAAAACTCTGTTGTAGAGATACGACTCAAGTAATTTATGAGTGTATCTGGGAAAGTGTGCTTTGATTTTATGCATGAGACCGTTGAGTCAGACGCGGTCGAATGCTTGGGATACGTCGAGGAATATCGCGCTGCTCTGTTGACTTGGTCGATCGTTCCATGTTTTTCTCTGAAGCCAAATTGATGGGCTGGGATAATGTTGTGAGCTCCCATATATGGTAATATCCTATCTTTTCATATATATTACGTATTCATACAATAAATAGCCTCTCCAAAAATAATTTTCAAAAAAGCTCATTTTTTTGGCCTCGCAACTGGATATAACCCCTTAAGGGCTTCTAGTATCTCAGAGGGGGCGACGCACAGTGGGCGATTTGGCCTCACTAGCGGCATTTAATTCAAATTTCAACTTTCAAAAAGCTATGATTTTTTTCACAATTCGATAATAGATACTTTGATTAGATTTATCCAAGCATTTTAAAAGCTCTACGATCAGCTGATCATCAGCTGTGAACGGACAAACACAGCATATGATTTTGCAAAGAGCTTTACAAAATTTTACCTGTTTGCGCGCATCGAATTCAAGTTCCTCGAAAATTTACAATTTTTAGTGAATTTATTAAAAGTTTGGTTTTTTATTAATTTCAAGGTATGTATTACAAAAAAAAATAATGTTTGTGACCGGTCTATAAATGTGTAGCTCATAAAACGTAGTGGTAATTCAGTGTATTAACAACGAGCCCGGATTAGCGTACACCTGTCTTTCGTGGAGTAGAACTTACCGGATTCAAGTGGATTCAGTCTAACAATTTTATTAGCCGAAAGTGTGAATCAGTGGCGTCCAATGTGTGTAATATGAATTGCTAGTACCTGCTAGCCTTCAAACTATGGTAATTTTTAAGGCACAATGTCAGTAGCAAAAAGGGATCTTTTTTAGTATATTTTAGTATTTTTACTATGCCTCCGTCTGATTTCGGTAATTCCAAATAAAATTCTAGCATACTTTAGATAAAGTTTATTTATAAAATATGTTAATTGAAGTTAAAGAAATAAAAATAAAACAAAATTTTATATAAAAAAAAGGCGTGCGTACAAAGTACACATGTCAGAAGTTAAACTTCTTTGGCGAACTAATTTATCAGTCTTGTCTATATTTATACAAATCTACAACTTTAGATTTCCGAGACTTAAAGAAAGGGAAAAAGGAAAATATGTTAGGAATTTAATTTTCATTAAAATATTAAAAGTTAATTAAATTTTGTTTCAGAACTTAAAATTTAGAAAAGCGAATTTATCAAATGTTTTTATTTTATGAAAAATGATTTATTGAATTGTTAAATGACGAGTGGCAAGTTGAAATTCAACATGTTATTTACAAATAATAAAACTACCTAACCTTCAAGCCAATTAGCCTAAGAATTGTAAATAAACAAAAAGATAACAGGTTTATTACTTACTTCGATTAACGGCTTAATACAGGACGCCTTTAAAATTTATCACAACTCACTGTTTCTACACTGCATAAGTGCTAATAATATTGTAAGTAGATGAAAAATCAGCGTTTACTGCAAAAGACGTTACGCGACAAATTTGCTTGATTTTATTGGTTTGTCAATGCACAGGATGTATCCTTGTTAAGTCGTAGACAACAATTATTTCTTTACCGCACCCAGTAACAATGACACAGTTCGATTTTAAATTTGTATAAAATACAAAAATAAATATATTGAAATATTGTTTTAGAAAAGCCGTTGGAGAAGCCGTGCAATCTTTTATTTTTGAAATTTCTAATTCTGTAATTAGTTTTACTAAATCGCTGTTCTTCGAAAAAGTTCGTTTTAGTATTTGTCTATTTACGGTCTGAAAAAGTGGCATTTTTTCTAAATTTATAAAAGTTTTTTTTTTTGCTGGGACTTAATAAGACAAAAACTTGACATTTAAATAATTTAAAAAATAAATTGCTAACACTTAAAATAGTCTCTGTCTTAAATAGCTAACATTAACAATTTGTAACATATTTAAGTCAACTACCGTAATGAATGAAAAGGAGTTCCCTACAAAAAATGCCAAATATAGGAAACCCAAAATTATTGTTCACAGCAAGATGGCGTAAAATGCTTTTGGAAATTTAGTATCAAGTGATGTACAACTCTGAGGAGCTGAACTTTGAGAATGGGAGGACTTTTTATCCGAGAACTTGTGTCTCAACCGAAACACTAGTTCCGGATAAAATTGTTCTACTTATGGAACTTTTATAAGGTACGATTTGGAAAATGGGAACAGAAGCACGCCGGCAGATGTCCCTTTCGTAACAGTTTAAAGTGCAAAAATAAGATTACAAAACTGTGCAAAATCTATATATAAGTTAGTAGTAAGCGTTTAAAAACAATATCTTTAAAATAATTTTAACTAGGTTTTTGGTATATTTTGAAAAAAAAAGTTTTCGAAAAAACATTATAATATTGCATATTATTACATATTTTAAGCATTAAGTATGACGTACTAAAAGGTGTTTCATATTTTTAAACAATTCAGATTTTGTTCTCTTAAACTGGTATTTGCTTCCTTCAGCGCCATCTATGGGAATTAATCTGCTGAACGAGCAAAGTAATATACTCCATTGCTGCAGCCCTGGAATAAGTCGATTAGATCAAGTTCCACTGTTCAGTTTAGAATTCGGAGTGACCGATATAGTGACGGATACACTGCTGCCAATTTGGATTTTTTCCCGTCAAAACTGGCTTTTTTTGAAGGCTAACTGCGGGAAAAATTTGTGAATTGCGGGAATTGGGAAAAGCGGGAAATCTGGCTTTTTTAAAAATTCCGTCGGCTTTTTCACGATTTTTTTGTATTATAAACACTTAAATATAAAATATGAAAAGGTGGCAGCTTTACGATAGTCACTTACAAACAAACCAGAAAATGTGGTAGCGTATGTGGTTTTCTCGATATACGCAAATGTCATCACTCACATAGTGATTCCATCTCTATATAAAAAGTGCGCATAAATTCTTAGTTCTGAAGTGCTGAAGTTCTAAAATGCCGAAAGAATATAAGCAAAAATGCCGCGATGTCTGGCTTAAAAATGAAGAGTTCAAGGCATGGATTCGCAGGGACGACACAAACCAGCAGAGGGTTTATTGCAACTACTGCAAGACCACTATTGCAGCTAAAATTGACCACTTGGGAAGCCAGTTTAAAAAACGGTTCAATGATAGGAATCAATATGTCATACGCAAATGAGGAAGACGAAGAAGATATTGTTAAATGATGGAAATCCTAACTCAATAAATTAATTTAACTTAATAAATCGTTATTTTTTGAATTTTTTTTGGCCTTTTTGAGAAATTTTTTGTTTAGCTTTTTATTGGATTTTTTAAAAAAAAATTTTTAGCTTTTTTCTTTATTCTTTCCGTCAAAAACAGTTTTTTTTGCTGGTTAAAAGTTGGCAGCACTGGACGGATATGCCAACTTGAAAAAATTATGTAAACTTTTGTACCGATACTTTGTCAGATTTGTAAGCTATCTGTCATTATTGAGGAATTATTTTAACATTGTTTTTAGACATTGAACACAAAAGCAATTACCGAATATCATTTCGCCTTAATGTAAGCAATATATATACTATAGTTACAATATATATACAGAAATATTAAGATTGGAAAGTTAGTTTTATTTATTTCCCAGCTCAATATGTGTAAAAATAATCTTAAATTTAAGAAAAATTCATTTTTGCTCGATTTGACCACCTTTTGCCTTGACTATAGCCTTGAGACGGTCGAAGAACGTTGCTTCGCTGGCCCGCAAGTGAGCAATTTCCGAACATTGTGTTTTCTGATGAGAAAATTTTTACAATTGAGCAATTCGTAAACACCCAAAACGATAGGGTTTACTTAACTGACCGTTCGTACGAGAATTTGAGCCATCGATTCGCAACCAGGAGCCACCACCCGCCACAGGTAATGATTTGGGCCGCTGTAACCCCAGATGGGCGCTCTCCAATCGTTTTTATCGAGCCTGGCGTCAAGGTAAATGCAAAATTTTATCAGGAAAGTGTTCTGAAGGTTGCCTTGAAGCCGTGGGCAGACAAACATTTCGATGGCAGACCATGGACATTTCAACAGGACTCAGCACCGTTTCAGAAAGCCAGAGTGAACCAAGAATGGCTGGAAAACAATGTTCCGAACTTCATAACGTCGACACAATGGCCCTAGAATTCATCAGCTGCAAATCCGCTGGATTATTCTCTTTGGGATATTTTGAAGAGCAAGGTCTAAACTTAAAAATACACCAGTCTAGAGGCGTTGAAAAAAGCCATTGTCCGCGAGTGGGCAAAAATACCGGCAAGTCACGTTCGGCCAGTTGCGATTCTTTCTTCGACCGTCTCAAGGCTATAGTCAAGGCAAAAGGTGGTCATATCGAGCAAAAATGAATTTTTCCTAAATTTAAGATTATTTTTACACATATTGTGCTGGGAATGAAATAAAACAAAATTTCCAAACTTAATTTATAACCATTTTTATTGGTTACTCTTCGAGTGCCGGACCCTGTACTAAATAATTAAATTTTATAAAAATCGACTATATCATATAGCTATCATATAAAAAATCGTCGAAAATATGGAAACTTAATAGAAAAATCGACATAGCTTCGATTTTGTTTAGCCTTTATGTATTTTGTTCGATATATTTAATGACTGCAAGGGTATATCAACTTTCTTTCTTGAGCCCAAAATTAATGTCCTAAAAAACTTGTGACCGGGAAAATCTCTCTTTTCCTCTCTCCTTTTCTCTCCTTTTGCGTCTCCCTTTTCAAACACGTGTATCTCAAAACTGTATTTTTAATTTTAGCCGGACACTAACTAAACGATTCACATGAAATTTGAAATAAACCTTGAAAATAACAAGAAATATTTTTGAAAATAGTTCAATTGTTATAAAAAATAATCATTTTTTTTCTCTTTTAAATAGAATGGAAAAAAAACCTTATTGTTTTTTGTTTTAATAAATATAAATATAGTATCATCCACTATGAGCTGCTCCCCTATGGCCCAACGCCTAATTCGGACTTGTACTGCCAACAACTGGACCGTTTGAATGCAGCACTCATGCAGAAGAGGCCATCTTTGATCAACAGAGGGCGAATTGTCTTCCATCGGGACAACCCCAGGCCACACACATCTTTGGTGACGCGTCAGAAGCTCCGGGAGCTCGGATGGGAGGCTCTTTTGCATCTCGGATCTCGCACCAAGTGATTACCACCTATTTCTGTCCATGGCGCACGAGCTTGATAGTCGGAAGTTGGCCACATGTTAGGATTTTAATTGTCATTAAAATATTAAAAGTGTTGAAAATTAATATAAATTATAAATTTAGTTTTTTAAATCTATTTCTTCAATAATTACAATATTTACTTAGTCTATAAGAATTGTTTTTTTAAAACAAGAAAGTAAGCTAGCTTCGGCAAGCCGAAGCTTATATACCCTTGCAGTCATCAAATATGTCGAACAAAATGCATAAAGGCTGAACAACAACGAAGCTAGGACGATTTTTCTATTCATTTTCCATATTTTTGTCTATAGATCATATGGCAGCAAGATGATATAGTTGTCCGATTTTTCTATTCATTTTCCATATTTTTGTCTATAGATCATATGGCAGCTAGATGATATAGTTGTCCGATTTTGATCAAATTTAATTCGTAATTCAAGAGTCGTGGGAAAACTTTATATTCCAAAAAATCAAATGCTTATCCGATGGAAAACGACGATGTTATAATTTTATTTCCATTATTTTTATATTTATTTTTTATCTTTCCTATGGCAGCTATAAGATATAGTTCTGCGATTTTCATGAAACTCTTTTCTCAATTTAAGGGTTGTTAAAAAACTTGATATTCAAAAAATCATTCTCGATGTTATCAATTTATTTCCATTAATTCTATATATATTTTTCGATCTCTCCTATGGCAGCTATATGATAGAGTTATCCGATTTTGATAAAATTTAATCCGAAATTCAAAAGTAGTTAGAAAACGCCATCTTGAATAAATCAAGTCGATCTGATCAAAAACAACAGCGTGAGAATTTTTTTATTTCATTCTCTCGAATGGGAGCTATCAGATATAGTCGGCCGATCGGGCCCGTTCCGACTTATATACTGCGTGCAATAACTACACACCTTTAAAACTGAAAGACTAGTTTACATAGAAACAGACAGACGGACCGACCGACAGACGTACAGACGTACAGACGTATTTCGATTGTGATCGTGATGCTGATCAAGAATATATATACTTTATGGGGTCTGAGGTGTCTCCTTCACTGCGTTGCAGACTTCTGACTGAAATTATAATACCCTTTGCTCTGCAAGAGTATAATAAAGTAAAAACATCTGAGAAGATGTTGAATATTAAATTAAATTCCTCGTGATTCTTTATAAATAGTAAGAATACCTGACCTAAATTTAAATGTATACAAAATCATTGTAAATTAATGACGGTCATGTAACCGACAAATGTGACGTGTAACCGAAAATTGTGACGGTAAATTTTTTTCCTACGCCGATAAAGAAGTTTCACTTCAAAAAATTTTTTTTAACTTAAAAAATTCTATGATTTTTCTCTGATCAGTGAAAAAAAACCGACTGAAGACATCTATTTTAGTTTAGAAGTTATTAATTAAATGCCGCTAGCGAGACCAAATCGCCCACTGTGCGACGTCGGACTCGATTCCTTTTAGTACTGTTTGTAGCCCTTAACTGCTTTTTAGTTAGTAGGTGTAAAAGTTCTTTTTGTTTCTTCCAGTTATTTGGACACAGCTCGGAAGTGTTCTTCATATTTCGTTTGAACTTTAATTTCGTGGATGGTCCCGACCAGCGCAACTATTTTGTTGTCCAGGGCGTTTGAGCTTTTTTTCCCTAATATAAATAGATGGGGGCTTTGATTTCTTTTGAGTCACTTGCTTCGGCTCAGCTTGGCTCTCACCATCTGCTAAGAGGGAAATCTGTTGCTGTTGTAGGTTATCCTGGTTTTTTCTTTGGTTTGGATTGTACGGTTGATCTTTGGTTTGTTACCAACCATGTTGTAACCGCGTTACTCTTTGTAGACGTTTTCTCTACTTCGGTATCTCGAGTTAAGAAATAAGCATAACAAGCATTTCTTTGGTTTACGGAGCTTCTACGCTCATTATTTTGCTCGCCGCTCATCTTTTGAGCTTATCGCACGTGGCAATATTTGTGAAAAACTGTATCATATCACTTATATTAGTAATTAGATATAGGCAACCTGAGCAGGAGTACCAACGCGTTCCCTGAGCGTCTTTTCGCGAAATAAAAATCGGATATTTTCGAAGTATTTTTTGTTACTCTGCGGAGCAATATAAAAACACGTCTGTTGTCATTGACAGTTATGAGTTATGAGTGTAGCAACCTTATGACGCTTGATTTGTGTAAAATATTTTTTTTTCTAGTTCGTTATATTTCGACTTTTTCACCTAGAATGAAAATTAAATATATTAAAAGTATAGTATAAAACTAACATTACCTTCTTTTCTTTTATCGAAGCAGTTGTTTGCTGATCTATGTCCATTATAAGATGATTATGGTCTGAACTTTCTTCATCCCTTCCATGATGTTTTTATACGTCTTTTCTTTTTCGCCATATTCATCGGAAATAATGGCGTTTATTTGCTTTAAGACATTCTGCTTTTGATACTTCTGCTTGATTTCGTTCGTGGCAGTGGACTGTTGAGCTGAGATACCTTGCGACGTAGTTCTTCTAGTTGACGTTCCTGCGTGAACAGCTTTTCCTTCAGCAGCTCCAAGCCTTGCTCTTCAAGCTCTTAAGCCTCTTGTTGTCTGCAGAGGTCCTTAAAGTAATCCGAGGGCGGATAAATAGAGATTACGAAATGTGGAACTTATCCGATAAGAAGGAATTAGCTATGATAACAGTAAACGTATAGCAGACACATTTGGGTTATCTTAAGAACTGTCCCGCGGACACAAATAGCTCGGAGTGCGTATTTGTGCCGCAATTGACAACATAACGCTCCTAAATTCGTTCTGCACGACAGTGGCAAACCAATTATAATCGAGCAGAGCAGAGAATTTGAGAATCTCGTAATAACCATAGGAACAAGAGTCCCTTTGCCCTTGTAAGATCTGTTGAAGGTTACACTGTTTGCAGAAGGAGAGAAAAATGACAATGAAGCATAAGAGCGGCAGTTAGCCTTTTATGGAGAGCTGCAGTTGGAAAACACAATGAGAACAAAGGAGAAGAGCCAAGTCCAATAGTAGAATGTTTTAAATGCGGACAGCGTGGCTACTATAAGATTCATTGTAACAGGCAGAAGTTCCTACGAGTGACGTACGAGAGTAAAAAGCCTTTAACTAGTATCTTGATAGCGGAGCTACGGCTCATACGTAGTGCGTTCGAATTGCGAGCGGAAGCATTACTTTGGCCGATAACAACGTAATAGGAGTAGTTGGAAAAGGTGACGTAATCGTAAGAGCAGATTATTTCAACCTGAATGTACGATTTTCGTCTAGGAAAAAAATTGCAGCAGGATCGGTATTTATGGGTTAACTTAGATTAGGGTTTATTGATATCGGCCTACCTAAACAAACACAGGACGATACAGGCCTGTGTCCATATGTTCCGACCTATCATAAAAAGAAAACCCACAATTAGTCACGTATTCACACCATCTGCATTCCTATCTGTAGGAATACTTTCTTCAAAATATCTGTGTTCAACTGGTATTGTTGTAACTGGCAATGTAAGAAATAGTTAAAATCTTGACTAGACCTAAGTAATTATCATTTAACCCAAAAAAAATAAATGTAAATAAAGCCTAAGTTTGACTCAATAAAATTAGTACAAAAAGAACTTATGACGTATTCACTTCTAAGCAGCCCAATTTGTACTGTACCTATTGGGGCGACTATTGCCACTGGTATTGTACTTGCGGCAAGGAACAAACACACAAATTCCATATTTCGGCATTAGAAATTCATTTGAATTCATACATTTGGTGACCCCCGACCTCGAACCACAACCATTGTTCAGATTGGGACTCCAATTTGAACCCGCATCATCGATCATAGTTTTGATCATCCAAAAATTTATCACGGTAGTGATTAACAGGTCAACTAGGCGACCAAGCATTTTTCATCTACTGCTATCAACTTGGCGATAGGCAGTTTGAAACAGCAGATACTAAAAGTCATCAAGGCGATTAGAAGATTCTGCGATTTGTGGTGAGAGTCGAGGCACATCATTAACAAAATACTTCAAAAAGGTTTATATTTTAAAGTAAAATGGCATCTTCAAGCATTCGCTCCGTATTGGATGAACAGCATGCTCTGGGTGAACGCATCCAAAGTATTATAAGGAATTTTAGAAATAATTCCCAGAGCCTGCGTATTGTACAGAACGCTTGGCTAATCTGGAGGGTCTATGTGTAAATTTTGCCTCCAGAGATGATACAATCCAGCGTACCCTAAAAATGGTAATTATTCGATAACATTTGTGGAAGCTATAGCAAATTAAACATGGAGGACCAAAGTGAGAATTTTCGGCATATTTTGCTTTTTTACTTCCAAAAAGGAAAAAAAAGCGGTCGAAGCTCGCGAAAAATTGTGCGAAGTGTATGGTAAAGATGCCATGAGTGATCGCCAATGTCAGCGCAAAGACGCCCCACGTTCTGGTCGACCATCGGCCGTTTTTGACGAACAAATTCAGGCTTTGCTGGATGAAAACCGGCGTTATTCAACGCGGGAGATGTCAGAGAAGCTCAGTGTGTCGCATGCAAAGTTGAAAACCATTTGAAGAAACTTGGCTACGTAAGCAAGCTCGATGTTTGGGTTCCGCATAACTTAAAGGAAATTCACTTAACTAAGCGTATCAACATCTGCTATTCTCTGCTGCAACGGATTAAAAACGATCCTTTTTTGAAGCGGATCATTACTGGCGACGAAAAGTGGGTTGTTTACAATAATGTCCAACGAAAAAGATCATGGAGTAAGAAAGATGAGCCAGCCCAAGTCACATCAAAGGCCGATATCCATCAGAGGAAAGTTATGCTGTCGGTTTGGTGGAATTGGAAGGGTGTAGTGCACTTTGAGCTGCTGGGACGGAATGAAACCATCAATTCAGATGTGTACTGTCGCCAGCTATCCAATTTGGCGGAAAAAATTAAAGAAAAGGAGCCGGCACTAGCTAATCACCAGGGTATAGTCTTTCACCATGACAACGCTAGGCCCCACACATCTTTGGTCACTCGGCAAAAATTAACGGAGCTGAATTGGGAAGTGCTACCACATCCACCTTATAGTCCGGACTTAGCACCTTCAGATTACCATTTGTTTCGCTCTCTTCAAAACTCTTTGAATGGTAAAAACATTGATTCAGATGAGGCTGTCGAAAATCACTTGTCTCGATTCTTTGCTGGAAAAGACCAAAAGTTCTTCGAGCGCGGAATTATGCAGCTGCCCGAAAGATGGTCATTAGTGGTCGAACAAAACGGCCAATACATAATTGATTAATTATATGTCCTGATATAAATAAATCATCTTTGAAAATATTGAAAAAAAGGGGTGTGTCCAGCCTACGCACGACAAAAGTGAAACTTCTTCATCACTACTCATTTTTAAAATTGAAATTCTGTAGGAAACCGAATAAAAGCCTTCTAGACGCTTAATTTTAGAGGTCTCGAAATGTGCTGGCGACTCTCAAAAGTTAACAAACCGATTGATAAGAAGAAGAAGACAAATACATATCGATATGTGTTTTCATTTCTAGGTCAAATAAAATGGATAGAAATTATGGTGCCAATTCTGTATGCAACCTGTTCGATTTGAATTCCTTTTGACATTCACACCTCTCACCCCGTTTTCAACTTATGCTCTCAACTTTGTGCGAGCGCGCTGAGAGCGAGAAAGGATAGAGGAGGATAGAGACATCGTACGTCAGCGATTAGAAAGGGATGGGGATTCTCGCTTTTTCGTAACGGTCATGAATCGGTTTCACTCCGTCCCCGAAAATCCATAACGCGCCTAAAGAAGTTTCACTTCAAAACGACATGACTTTCTTGCCAACCCAATATTACGAAGACGGCAACCATAAATAAACAAAAAAAAATGTTTTTTTGTTCCTTTTGCTTAGTGCGTCTTCCGGGTGTAACGACGAAAAATCGTCGGTCCCTTGAAAGTCGCTATAACCGGATCCTACTGTATATAAAATTCTCGTGTCACAGTTTTTGTGACCTTACTCCTCCGAAACGGCTATACCGATTCTCATGAAAATTTTGTGAGCGTATTGAGTAAGTCTGACAATTACCCAGCGTATATTTTTCATCCTCTTAAATCGTGTTCGACATACCAAAAATCGCATATAAAGTGAGTTTCTACCTCTCCACACTGACAAAAACACGCAACCATAGCATTTTAAATCAATTTAAACTGGGGAAAAAATCCTTCATCATTAAGTAAAATCATTAATTCTATTTATGAGTGTTCTGTCCAGTGAGCTATGCCAAGAAAACGCAAAGCGGGTACTTTGAGCCGTGATACAAGTAGATCTCGATACATGCGAAATAGAAGATCCGAAAGAATAGCGCAAGTGCATCAAGAAGAGCCAGAAGATACACGAGCTGAACGCAATGAAGTCAGAGAAGAGCCAGAAGTTACACGAGCTGAACGCAATGAAGTCAGAAGATTAGAACAACGACAACCACGCCGTGTCACAGTCAATAGAGGCAGAACAAATGACCATCAACGACAACAGGTACATCGAGAATTTATATATAATTCATTACTGCGTCTAGCATTCCAGTATGAGTCCGATATTGAGCATTATGCTCACTCAAAAGTGGTAATTGGTGCTATGGACAAGGAATGTCCGCATTGTCATGCTCTGAAATTTAAAAATGAGCCAGCTGGGATGTGTTGCGCGTCGGGAAAAGTGCAACTACCAGAAATTGAAACACCACCTGAACCATTGAACGGCTTACTTATCGGCACGGATCCAGATTCAAACGTGTTCCTGAAGTCAATTCGAACATTTAATTCATGCTTTCAAATGACATCGTTCGGAGCCACAGAAATAGTTCGGAATACTAATGCAAATGGTCAAAATTACAACTCTACATTCAAAATTAGAGGCCAAGTTTATCATAAAATGGGCTCACTGCTGCCAATGCCAAATGAACAACATAAATTCTTACAAATCTACTTTATGGGCGGCGAGGATTCCGGAAGCGCAATTGCCAATCGCGTGAATGCACGTTGTGATTATAATAACCTGGATTCATTTTATGCCAGACGCATCGTCATATGACAAATATTAGCGGATATTGGAGAGAACAGGACATTAAAAGATATTAAAAACAACGACAAACTATTTGGCGGAACTCTGTTGGTCCTTTCAGGTGATTTCAGACAAACACTTCCAGTCATTCCACGTTCAACATACGCTGATCAGATCAACGCTTGCCTAAAATCATTTCCATTGTGGCGTAATGTTTAAAAATTACAGCTAAAAGTAAATATGCGCGAGTCACAGTCCTGTGACCGAGGGAGTACAAGGGTGTCTCCCATTAGCGAATTTCGCCCTGGAAACCGCTGGAAAAGAAGCTTGTAAGGAAAACGACCGTGTTGTTCGGAGTACAAAATAAAAGTAAATCTTTATTACAAAGTGATTAGAGAAAATGACAGTGTTCGTCAGAGTTCTGGCATGTTGGCGGTTTGTTGTTGTCCATCAGCGCTAGGGTTGCCGGGTCTGCTGTTATCCTGTGGCCAGTGACAGGAGTATGTTAACTATGGCATGTTAACTCCGGGTCCGCTGTTATCATGTGGCCAGTGAGAGGGGTATGTTAACTAGGGGTATGTTAACTCCTCCCCCCCAGTCCGAAGAGAAGGCCAAAGAGGGGAAATGGCCGGATCGGAGTAAGGGTGGCCAGATGTACGCCAAGAACTCCGACGATATTTTAAATTTAACAATTTTTTATCAAAAACGGGTATCTTAATGTTAAACAGGAGTGTTGTTTTGAAGGTATAACATGATTTATAAATGTTTTTTATCTAATGCTAACATTATATTTTGTTTTCTTATTAATTCTCTACGTTGTATTTGTTCCTTATTAAATAACAATTTGGGGATAATTCATTGGCTAAGGGGCTGTCAGCTATCGAGTTCATTAATGAAAGAGTTTTGTGCGTTTTTAAAGAGAAAAAACAAATTTCGTTGATTGTTTCTTGTTAATGTAAGTTTTTATATTACTTAGTTTGATAAATATGTCTTTGTTGAATAGTGTTTGTATATTGGAATATTTTCATTTCTTCTAATAAGTTTTGCCCGTCGTTGTCATCTAGGTTTCCCGAGGTAGATTTGGGTATGCAACTAGAATGTATTTCTTTTTACTTCTACCTGTTTGATATTGTTTGGTAGGGCTTCTAATGATACTTTAAGGGTTGGGCGGTCATTTAGTATGTGTCGGTGTTAGCATTTGTTGTTTAAGCTTGTCATCCGGTGTTTGTAAATTTTTTAATTGTTTTTCTAATTTTTTGTTTATGTAACTTTTGACCTTTAGTTGTTAGAAGGGTGGTACCAAAGACTATAGAATATCAAGATGTTGCATCCCATACAAACAATTTTTCGTTTCTGTTTCGAGCTTCATGATGCGGTCGGTCGGGGTAAAAAGGGAAAATCTAAAAATAGAAACACGACGAACTGCTGCTTTCGGCTTTCGTCTTCGTTTTTAATATTCGTCGTGTTCCCAAATTGGGAATTTGTTCACAGCTGCTAGTTTTCAGTTTATCGGGCTTTATACACTTTACAATAGTAGAAGGGTATATCAGACTTGTAAAGCATTATTATTTTATTTTCTTTAATTTTCATTTAAATCATCATTTTTCGTTTATAATAATTAAATTAAAGAATTCATAGGTGCAATATTAATAATGTTCCTTATTCAGATAATTGTGTCGTTAAATTTTCACACATGCGCGTGTACATACGCGTTTTAGGGTATTTTGCTGCTCACCATGATACAATTATACAACGTAGTCCACTCGTTCGGTTTTGGTCCCTTATTTTCAGTGCGTGCCTGCTTGTCAAACTGAAGCACAATGTAGCCGTTTCACTCACACTTACTTGACAAAGTTAAATTAGGGGACTATGGATTTTGCCGAGTGGACTACCTTGTATAATTGTATCAGGCTGTTCACCACTTGCATGAACGCGAAAAAAAATATAAAAACAAAAAATTGAAAAAAAAAATGTAAAAATAAAATAATTAATTAATTTACACAAAAAAGAAAAAAAAAACAATTTATGATATGGCTGGGCTCGGCGAGGATACGAACCCGGGCCTTCATGTACACGAGGCATAGCATCTACCACAACACCACCGGGCTTCATGAAGCGCGGCGAACTAACTGAGTATATGGTCTTAGCTGCCTTTAAAAGTGCAAAGTCATGTGGGTCTCCATATCAAGACCCACCATAGAACGATTTTTTTGAGGTCATGCAACATCTTGATATTCTATAGTCTTTGGTGGTACCTTTGTCTCTATCTACTTTATGTAGTGAAAATCTAGGTGTTAACTTGTTTCTACGGTTTTCTTTTCTAAATACCGTATCATTAGGTTCGACTTGGACTGGTGTCTCTCTGTCCTCATTTAATTTAGTCAATCTCCTTTCTGTGGTCGCATTTAAATGTTCCTGTACTTTTGGGTATATGTCTTTTCTAAATTCGTTTAATTTCTTAAGGTAATCGTGGTGATTGTCGAATGTTATTGTTTTATTGAATATGTGAGTTCTTCCGTGGAAGAGCTCGAAAGGGGTATAGGAAGTGCTTGAGTGTATTGCATTGTTATATGTTGCAACTGCTTCTGTGAGTATTTGGTCATGCCCGCATTCAAGACGTGCTTCCTTTCTTTTGTTCATGATTATCCTGTATAGTTCGGTTAAGGTGGAATGCAGTCTTTCGACAGAAGCGTTGCCCGTTGATTGTTGAAATGAAGTTGTATGAGCTCTTATTTGAAATTGGGATAAGGGGTCGTTGAATAAACTCCCCGAAAATTCCGCTCCCTGGTCGAAAATTATTTCCTTTGGTGTGCCGTAATGACTTATGAATTGTAACAGGGCGTCGGCGATTTTTATTGAATTCCTATTGCTAAGGGGGTAGGCTTGCGCTAGCTTGGAGAATTTGTCTATAATGGTGAGGTTACAAGTATTGTTAATGAAGTATATGTCTATATGCACGACCGCCAATGGTCCCTCTGGGGCTGTTGGGGCTTGCATTAATGGTCTATGGGGGTGTCTATCGTACTTGAGGGTTAAGCAGGTATCGCAATTTTTTTTATAATTTTTGTGATAATGTCTTTTAAATGTGGAAAATAAATGTCTCTTTTTAAATGGTTATATGTTTCATCTATCCCCCTATGATTGGTATTAAAGTGGTATGCACGAATTTTGTTTTCTTGGTCGTGGGGATTAGTGATATCGGTTAGCCATATTTTGCAGCGGGAAATTTTGTACAAGTCATTTTCGAAAAAATAGTTATTATAGGACTCTTCTATTATTTTGAAAATATCGTCTGGTGCAAATATTGCAAATGTTTTATTGGGCTTCAGGATTTTTTGAAGAGTGTTTGTAACGGAGTCGAAAGTATGCACGGGTTCTGTGATTGTGTGTCTTGTTTTATGTACAAATAGTGTTTCTACTTGTCTTGAAGTTGTTGAACCGGTACGAAATATTATTTGATTATTGAAATGATTTATTGGTTGTGAAACGATCGGTATAATTTGTGGGTCTTCGTTTATGTTTAAATTTGGCTCGATTCTGCTGAGTGCATCGGCGACTACGTTTTGCGACCCTTTTTTGTATACGACTTCATAGTCGTAAGACGCCAGGATAGTTTTCCATCGGAGTAGTTTTGGATTCTGGCCTTTCAGATTTTCTAGCCATATTAATGGCTTGTGGTCCGTGACTATTTTGAATCTACGCCCGAAAAGGTATGGTCTAAAATGACCCACAGACCAAATGATTGCTAGCATTTCTTTCTCTATCGTGGAATAGCGGATTTCCGTGTCCGATAATGTCCTGCTAGCGAAAGATATGGGTCTGTCATTAGTGTCTGGGCCTTGTGACAGCAGAGAGCCAATCGCATAATTGCTTGCGTCTGTGGTCAACGTGAACGGTTTGTTAAAGTCAGGGTATATGAGTATGGGGTCGTTACAAAGAAGGTCTTTCGACGTTTCGAATGCTTGTTTAAATTCATCGTCTATTATTATAGATTTTTTTTCCTTTTAACTGTCTCGTTATGGGTTTAGTTATTTTTGCGAAGTCCTTTATGAATTTTCTGTAATACCCTAATAGTCCTAAAAATGATTTAATTTCCCTAGATGTCTTTGGGCAGGGAAAATCCTTGATGGCTTGAATCTTAAGTGGGTTGGGTTTGACTCCTTCTTGGGTGACAATGTGTCCGAGGAAGTCGATTTCCTTCCTTAAAAAATTACACTTGCCCGGTTGGATTTTTAAATTTGCGTTTTGGAGTTTTGTGAAAACAGATTTAATATCTGATATATGTTTTTGGAGTGACGGTGAGAATACTATTATGTCGTCGAGATAGACGAGACAGACGTTACCGACTAAGTCACCTAAGACGTTGTCCATAACGCGTATGGGTGATTCCTGTACATCGAGCTGTTGCGAAGTCGGTTTTCTTGGTTTTTATTCAAGTTTTTAGAGAAGTTTATTTCAATCTGCCCGTACTCGTACGCTTTCTCGATTGTCTCTGGCCTTTGGTTCCTGATGGCTGACCTAAGTGGGTCCTTTAATCCAACTAAAAATGTATTCAGGCAGAATCTGTCATATTGGTCACGTTTGGCCGTGAGGGAGTGTCCACTTGGGTCTGCTTCTCTGGCCAGTGACATTAATTCGCTTCTTATTTTCGTGGCTGTAAAATATAGTTTTCCCATACTGAGTCCGTCCGGAAGGTTGTGTAGCTCTCTAACAAGCATTTCTTCAGTTTTCTTGCTAGAGTATAGTCGCTTAAGATTTATTTTGATGTCATCCCAACTGAGGAGTACATCACAAACACTCAGCGCTTCATCCGCTTTTCTTTCCTTACTACCGCTTCTCTTATCTCGGACAGTCTAGACCCGCTCCTTAGCCCTAGTCTGCCCCTAACTGTGTTACTAGTGGTGGCTTCTTTTTTTAAAGGAATTTATATTTACGTTTGCAAATAATCGCGAAAAACTTATATATAAGGGTATGGTAATGGTATGTATATAGGTTGTAATAATTTCTTAAGTTGTAATTATATATATGTCTATATTAATAATATGTATGTGTATTTTTGTAGTATAGGAATATTATATGCTGTGTTAAAATATTTGATACTATGTATGTATCTATGTTTGTGTGTTAGTAAATGTATGTATGTATGTACGGGGCTTCTTCGTATATATATGTTTATATTTATTTTACGGGGATTTTATTTGCGTATGTCTATTTTTCTAAAATAAAGGAAAACCTGTGTGTGTGTATCCGCTACGCAGCTTCCTCTTTTCCTTGGTTCCCTGTGTTTAGTATTAGTTGGTTGTGTAGTAGTGCTGCGTTGCCTTCCACCTCTCCCGGTTCTTTTTCATGGATGTTATCGAGTTCAACTGTAATATCTTTAATAAATATTAAATAGAGTGTTTTTTAGAGGTTAGTGAACAAGTGACAACAATATGCGTTAAGTCGTTTGTGGATTGTTCTGTCATTTCTTTCTTTTCTTTTAATTTTCTTTATTCTATTTTTTTTTTTTTTTTTTTTAAACATATAATTTAAAAAAAAATGTTATTCATTTTATTGATTTTATTTTATTTTTCTTTATGTGTTTTTATTTTTGTTGTTCGTAGTGTTCAAAAAATATTTCAACAGCGTATAAGCAAAGACTATAGAATATCAAGATGTTGCATGACCTCAAAAAAATCGTTCTATGGTGGGTCTTGATATGGAGACCCACATGACTTTGCACTTTTAAAGGCAGCTAAGACCATATACGCAATTAGTTCGCCGCGCTTCATGAAGCCCGGTGGTGTTGTGGTAGATGCTATGCCTCGTGTACATGAAGGCCCGGGTTCGTATCCTCGCCGAGCCCAGCCATATCATAAATTGTTTTTTTTTCTTTTTGTGTAAATTAATTAATTATTTTATTTTTACATTTTTTTTTCAATTTTTTGTTTTTATATTTTTTTTCGCGTTCATGCAAGTGGTGAACAGCCTGATACAATTATACAAGGTAGTCCACTCGGCAAAATCCATAGTCCCCTAATTTAACTTTGTCAAGTAAGTGTGAGTGAAACGGCTACATTGTGCTTCAGTTTGACAAGCAGGCACGCACTGAAAATAAGGGACCAAAACCGAACGAGTGGACTACGTTGTATAATTGTATCATGGTGAGCAGCAAAATACCCTAAAACGCGTATGTACACGCGCATGTGTGAAAATTTAACGACACAATTATCTGAATAAGGAACATTATTAATATTGCACCTATGAATTCTTTAATTTAATTATTATAAACGAAAAATGATGATTTAAATGAAAATTAAAGAAAATAAAATAATAATGCTTTACAAGTCTGATATACCCTTCTACTATTGTAAAGTGTATAAAGCCCGCTAAACTGAAAACTAGCAGCTGTGAACAAATTCCCAATTTGGGAACACGACGAATATTAAAAACGAAGACGAAAGCCGAAAGCAGCAGTTCGTCGTGTTTCTATTTTTAGATTTTCCCTTTTTACCCCGACCGACCGCATCATGAAGCTCGAAACAGAAACGAAAAATTGTTTGTATGGGATGCAACATCTTGATATTCTATAGTCTTTGGTATAAGCCAACGTCAGGAAAAGGTTTTTACTTTTACCTGATTTTTTCTTTTTTTTCAGCAGGTTTAATTTAGTAATTCCTTTTTTATAGTATTATTGTTTTTATTATTTTTTGTTTATTATTTACTTATTATTTTTATGCGTTTACGTAAGTTGATATATGGAAACGATCCCGGTGCCTTAACAGCGATTGTTGTACACATATACGGTCGTTAATCACTCAACTTACTTTTGTCTTCGTAAACCACTGTGTGCGGGACCGTCCGGTGTTTTGTCGGCGATTTAGGGGTTTAAACATTCACTGGCGGGTCGGTGATTTTCCGGCGAGTTTTGGTAACAAATCAATTCAATGTTCCACTTGTTTAACTTCTTACTCTTTTCACAAGTTTTGGTCACAAGACAATTTAATGTTTCACTGATTTAACTTCTACTGCTTCCGACGGGTTCTGTTCACAAGGATATTTAATTTTCGACTGATTTAACTTCCTTTTGTTTTCCTCCTTTTATAGCAAACCGCACTCGGCGGCAGCGACGCCAGGCTGCCTAAACGCTTTGCCATATATGGTAATAACCATGATGAGAAATTACTATTCTGAAAAAATGACCATAAATGGGCATTTTTTTAATACTTTCTTATTTACGCACACCAGGTGCTTTTCGACGCAAGGTTATCGCTGCGACAAAAACTTCCTCACAAAGCCACAAAACACATACTACGACATCGACGCCAGGCTGTCTATACACAGTGCATCTATTAGTCGGTGTGACATTACCATAGTGGTGAAAGTGCTATCCTGATGAAATGCCCAAAAATGGGCCACACACGGCAGTTTGAGACGTCTAATTTTAGATTTCTTGACCATATTTGGTGTGCTTTCTTTTTTTTTTTTTTGTTTTAGAGTTGCTATGTATAGATGGTCCCGGTGCCTTTTCAGCGATTGAAGTACACAAATACGGTCGTCACAAATAGCAACTTGTTAGTATAATTTTTGTAAGTTGTTCCGCACACACGGTCACCACACACGGCAGTTTGAGACGTCTAAAATAGATTTCTTGACCATATTTGGTGTGCTTTCTTTTTTTGTTTTAGAGTTGCTATGTATATACGGTCCCGGTGCCTTTTCAGCGATTGAAGTACACATATACGGTCGTTACACATATGTAGCAACTTGTTAGTATAATTCTTGTAATTCTTGTACACATATACCGACGCTTGTGTGGCAATTAGAAATTGATTTCGTTTGTTTCGTGTTTTCTTTGTCTGTGGATATATGATTTTTGCACATTTTTGTGTGTCATCCCCTTATGTTAACTGGTGGCCACGCTGCTTGCTGTGCCTTCCTTTCTGAACTCCCATTTGCACTACTAAAATTTTCACCACAAACGCTGTCACCTGTTCACTCACCTCAAGAAATTGGAACGATAAGCGTAGTGGGCATTCTTAATCCCTTGTTCGTAGTCCGGCTGCGCCAGTCACAGTCCTGTGACCGAGGGAGTACAAGGGTGTCTCCCATTAGCGAATTTCGCCCTGGAAACCGCTGGAAAAGAAGCTTGTAAGGAAAACGACCGTGTTGTTCGGAGTACAAAATAAAAGTAAATCTTTATTACAAAGTGATTAGAGAAAATGACAGTGTTCGTCAGAGTTCTGGCATGTTGGCGGTTTGTTGTTGTCCATCAGCGCAAGGGTTGCCGGGTCTGCTGTTATCCTGTGGCCAGTGACAGGAGTATGTTAACTATGCCATGTTAACTCCGGGTCCGCTGTTATCATGTGGTCAGTGAGAGGGGTATGTTAACTAGGGGTATGTTAACTCGCGTTCAAATGCTTCGAGATCCATCCGCTGAAACATTTTCAAAACAACTCTTAGATATCGGTGATGGAAAATATGGTATAGATGAAACTGGATACGTAAAATTACCCACCGATTTTTACACAATCGCTGATTCGCAAGATACTCTAATTGAACAAATATTTCCCGATTTACACTCACAGTACATAAATCATGAGTGGCTTGCAGAAAGAGCAATTTTAGCGGCAAAAAATGTAGACGTTGACAGTTTAAATCAAAAGATACAAATGTTGTTGCCAGGGAACTTGGTATCATATAAATCTATTGATACAGTTTGCGATGACAGCGAAGCTGGATTCGCAAGGCATGCCAACGCATAATTTAAAATTAAAGGTTGGATCTCCAATTATCCTACTTTGAAATTTGAACCCGCCCCGACTGTGCAACGGTACGCGATTAGTCATTAAAAAATTAATGAACAACGTGATCGAAGCCAGCATTTTAAATGGAAAGTTCAGAGGTGAAAATATACTAATACCAAGGATTCCTATTATACTTGATGCGCCAATTCAATTCAAACGAATTCAGTTTCCGATTATATTGGCATTTGCAATGACTATCAACAAATCCCAAGGTCAAACGATGTCTATTTGTGGCTTAGATTTAAGAACACCATGTTTTTCACACGGCATGCTCTCGAGTGGGTAAACCATCCAGTTTGTTTGTATTAGCAAAAGATGGACTCACAAAAAATATTGTTCACGCTATAGCATTAAGAGACTGATATTATTTAATAGTGTTATAAATTATAATTACTTATTAAAAATAATGTTTGCTTTTTGTTATTTTTATATTCCCTCATGGTTTATAGCGCTCCAGATGACTTTATAATACATAAGTCTAGAACTGAGTAAATTTTGTAGAGAAATTATAAAGTCATCTGGTGGCAAAACAACGTTTTCCGGGTCAGCGAGTATATATATATATTCTTCGATCTTTCGTATGGCAGCTATATGATAGAGTTATCCGATTTTGATCAAATTTTATCCAAAACTCAATAGTGGTTAGGAAACGCCATCTAGAAGAAATCAAGTCGATCTGATCAAAAACAGCGGCGTGAGACGGACAGACGTTCAGACGTATTTCGATTCAGGTCGTGATGCTGATCAAATATATATACTTCATGGGGTCTGAAGTGTCTCCTTCACTGCGTTGCAAACTTCTGGCCAAAATTATAATACGCTTTGCTCTGCAAGGGTATAAAAAGTGGGGGAGCAGCTTATTAAGTTCTGGGAACTTGATAATTTTCAACCGAATAAAAAATGTTATTCTTGAAAACATCCAGCGGGCACAGGACTCAAGCTACATTGTTCAGCTACCATTTTTGGAGCATACTTCAGCGCTGGGGGAGAGTCGTGACATTGCCACGTGATGGTTCTTATCACTAGAGAAACGATTGCAAAAGGATCAAGCAATAAAACAAGCATACGTCGAATTCATGAAGGAATACGAATTGCTTGGACATATGAAGGAAGTTCCTCTTGCGAATCTGCCAAAATCTCACTACTTCATACCTCATCATTGTGTCCTAAAACCAGATAGCCATATAACAAAATTACAGGTTGTATTTGACGCATCAGCGGTAACATCCTCTGGAAAGTCGTTAAACGATTTATTGCACAAAGGTCCAACAGTGTAAAACACATTAATGTCTATATTGTTAAGATTTAGACTACATAAATACGTCTTTACGGCTGACATAGAAGAACTGTATAGGTAGATTTGGATAAATCCGAAAGACCAGCATTATCAGATGAGAGTTGAGATACTATCGACTGAAAACAGTGACATATGGAAACAAATCTGCACCTTACTTAGCAACGAAATGCCTAGACTATTTGACATCAAATCAAGTACAGCAGTATCCTGTAGAAGCGGCTGCGTTAAAATCTGCGAGCAGATACAATAAAAGAAGCATTACAAATCCGTATTGAACTCAACAAAATATTAATGAGTTCGGAATTCAAATTAAGAAAATGGTACGCAAACAGCAACCAACTTTTACAAGGATTAAAGGGGGAAATACAATTAGAAATTTTTTTTTCGAAAAATTTTTTTGGCTTAATGTACTATAAATATGTCTGGGAATAAGCCTTTAAAAGCATAAAGCCATCCAGTACTTATTTTCAAAGTAATACGCAATTTAGTGAGTGCGTTTCAATGGCTGCAATGGCACAACAAAAACTTTAAACGCTTCTACTGAAAAGTCGTGTTTTCAAAGTCGCCGTCCAATGTACAGGTCAGAGATTTTATTTAAATCCAATGCGGTTTTTGCATTATGTTTGAAATGAAATTCTTCACACCATGAATATAACGGGTTTTCATATTTGTTTGTTATAACATGTTTTTTTTACAAACAAAGTCGAAAAAAAGCGTTTTTTTTTAAATTTTTTTTTTTTTAACTTCAAATTTTTTAATGGAAAAATAATTTTTTATACCCTTGCAGAGCAAAGGGTATTATAATTTCAGTCAGAAGTTTGCAACGCAGTGAAGGAGACACCTCAGACCCTATAAAGTATATATATTCTTAATCAGCATCACGATCTGAATCGAAATCCGTCTGTACGTCTGTCCGTCGGTCCGTCTGTCCGTCGGTCCGTCTGTCCGTCGGTCCGTCTATCTGTTTCTATGTAACCTAGTCTCTCAGTTTTGAAGCTATCGTGCTGAAACTTTCCGAAAAGATGTGTAGTTATTGCACGCAGTATATGTATAAGTGCAAATGAGCTAGATCGGCCGACTATATCGGATAGCTCCCATACGAGAGATTGAAAAAAAAAAATTCTCACTCCGTTGTTTTTGATCAGATCGACTTGATTTCTTCCAGATGGCGTTTTCTAACTATATACTATTGAATTTCGGTTTAAATTTTATCAAAATCGGATAACTCTATCATATAGCTGCCACAGGAGAGATCTAAAAATATATATAGAATTAACAGAAATTAATTGATAACGTCATTGTTGTTCATCACATGACTATGATTTTTTGAGTATCAAGTTTTTTAACTAGCCTTGATTTATAAAAAAAATTTCATAAAAATCGGACAACTATATCATATAGCTGTCATAGAAAAGATCGAAAAATCTATATAGAACTAGCGGACCCGGCGAACTTTGTCTCGCCCCAATTTCACGACTTCATATAACCCCAGAGTAATAATAGAACACTGGTAATTCAAATTTTTTGTGAAATTTTTTTGACTCGAAATCATTGGAGAGCGATGTGATAAACAATATTTTTTGTTTTGTTATCCGGTGCAAAAATAAATAATGATGACGACTTCCCGACACGCGAACAGTCTCCGTATAACTGTCCATGTGAAAAACATTGATTTTCCAGATTTATCCCGAAGACTTCCAACGACTGGCCTTGCGATTACTGGGAACTAAATCCTCTTAAATTTGAATGGAAGAGCTGATGGATT